TTTGGGTTATGACAATTGGATGACAATTGTTAACAAATAGAAAACCAACGGTGATTGTCATGGAAACAAATTCAATCATTAAACTTTGGAATTTGGAGAATGTTTTTCTTAGTTTTCCTAATCTAACCTAATCTCAAACCTAACCTTTCTTTACGAAAAACCCGTACGAATATTTTTAAGAAAATCCTATTCACTTGTTTTTCTAACGTCACACATTTTGACACGTCCTGTCACAATATTTGTTGTTTATGTTTCGTAGCTTGTTTGATCCATATAACCTGTGTCAGTGTCAACGTTTTTCTTTTGGACTGTCACTTTTGAAGTTTCTCTATAGACAGTTCAAAACAAAAGTTATATTTTCAGTTTTTCATAAAAATTAATCAAATTTATTACTTAAAATATTATGAAATTATAGAAATACGAAAATTTAAAGAATTTACATTCTAATAATATGTCTAATAATATGACTTTGGGTTATGACAATTGGATGACAATTGTTAACAAATAGAAAACCAACGGTGATTGTCATGGAAACAAATTCAATCATTAAACTGGAATTGGGAGAATGTTTTTCTTAGTTTTCCTAATCTAACCTAATCTCAAACCTAACCTTTCTTCACGAAAAACCCGTACGAATATTTTTAAGAAAATCCTATTCACTTTTTTTTCTAACGTCACACATTTTGACACGTCCCGTCACAATATTTGTTGTTTATGTTTCGTAGCTGTCAACGTTTTTCTTTTGGACTGTCACTTTTGAAGTTTCTATATAAATAGTTCAATTCAAAAGTTATATTTATATATATATATATTAATTATGAAATTATAGAATTTTGAAAATTTAAAGAATTTACATTATTTGTTATGTCTAATAATATGACTTTGGGTTTGTTTCTCGCGAATATTTGGATACAAAGGCGCGAACAAAGGACGGTTGTGAGAGTGTTGGTCTTTTGTGGTGGCATTTCCGGATCATGGGAGTCGAACTGCCGCCACCACCACCCCTATATCGATTCGGATTAGAAATGAGGAGGATGAGAGAAACGCTGGTGAATTAAAGAGGACACGTCGGTCGCAAATAGTAATTGCCGAGCGTTCCCATTCGCCGAGCAAAATGTATACACACAGAGTCAGAGCAAGCACACTGAGATGGACGCAAAGAATGGAGAAGAAAGAAAGAAAGAAAGCCAACCACCTCCGAAGGCGCGTTTCTGGTTTATTTATTTCAATGTTTTTTTCTTCGCGCGTACAGAAAGTTGAACAAAGCGAGGGTTACTACCCTACCTACAACACTCAGAGTGGATTCGCATATACGCAGAGAAAGAACGACCGATGCATAAGAGAATAAGAGAAAGAGAGAGAGAGATAGATAGAGCACATAGAATGAGAGAGAGAGAGAGAGAGAAAAAACTTGCTTCATTTGGAGTCCGCCGAGCGTGAAATAAATTGTATGGGGCCAAGAAGGAGGGGTTTTTCAAATGGATGTTTGGATGGAGGAAAACCCAAGAATCTTTTTAATTAAGTTGCTTTCCTCTCACTCACTCACTCACTCACTCACATTCTTCATCACTCATCTCATCTCACTCTTATCCGTGGTTCTACCTACATCTTCTACCTTTGCCACGAAACTAAACTAATCCCGTTTTGCACCTTAATGCGAATATTCATAACTCTCGCATATTTATATTTACGATGCTAATTAAGCGAGGAGCGTGAACGTAATTTCATTTTGGAGCGCGTCGCCCGATTTAATCGCATCAACCGTTTTCATCCCTCACTGGAAATTTCCGAATTTCCACTTTAAAATTTTCATTAACTAACTAACTTTTCCATTTATAATCATAAACATAGTAGCATTTTAGCATTCATTCTAATAATTAGTAACGTAATTGGATTATTCGAGTGCAATTTTTCAGTACTTCTTCGTTCGCCCATTCAAAAATCGAAAAATTTGTGAGAAAATCAATAATTTAAAAGAAAAATTCATTCACTATTTAATTAATTGGTTTATAAATGAACGAGATGGTCGAACGAAGTGAGTTATGAAAAGGTTTTCTCTTTTGTATTTGTAAATGAATTAACTAAGTGCGATGAAATTTTGATTGATTCGGATCGATGGAAATTCCCTTAAAGCTAAGAGTTCTCTCTTTGCTCCCGTCTGATTCCTTAATCGAATTACGAGTGCAAAGTGGAATCGATGATGTTCATTTCTTTCCTTTTTCCCTTTCAGCTTCAGGTCGATTTCGCTGTAGAGAGTGAATTGAGATTCTGATGGGTATTTGGAAAAGTAGAAAATATCTGGCGGATGTTTCACGGATTTTCAGGGAATCGGAGCATCATAAATTAATGCAATATTAATTTGTAGTTAATAAGTGAATTTGATGTGCAAATGTAGGGAGCCTTGGAAAAGGTTAAAGTTGTTTTCAGGACCCACTACTTTCGCCCCTCAAATTCATCTGATTGCAACTGATGGGCGTAGGAAGTCCTGATTGCAACTGAAAAAATGGTTTCTTCTTTAAGAATTCTTATAAGAATTCTTATAAGAATTATTATAAGAATTCTTATAAGAATTCTTATAGGAATTAGAGTAAATCTGATTAAAAGTTTGTGAGAGTTTCGGTTTTCAAAGAGAGTGAATTGAGATTCTGATGGGTATGGGAAAAGTAGAAGAGATCTGGAGGATGTTTCACGGCTTTTCAGAAATCGGAACATCACAAATTAATGCAATATTCATTTGTTGTTAATAAATGAATTTGATGTGCGAATGCAGTGAGCCTTGGAAAAGGTTTCAGTTGTTTTCAGGATCCACTTCGTTCGCCCCTCAAATTCATTTGATTGCAACTGATGGGCGAAGGAAGTCCTGATTGCAACTGAAAAAATGTTTTCTTCTTTAAGAATTCTTATAAGAATTATCTAACAAAGTGTACTTAAAAGTTTGTGAGAGTTTCGGTTTTCAAAGAGAGTGAATTGAGATCCTGATGGGTATGGGAAAAGTAGAAAAGATCTGGATGATGTTTCACGGCTTTTCACGGAATTGGAGCATCACAAATGCATGTAATATTCATTTGTTGTTAATAAGTGAATTTGATGTGCGAATGTAGTGAGCCTTGTAAAAGGTTTCAGTTGTTTTCAGGACCCACTTCGTTCGCCACTCAAATTCATCTGATTGCAACTGATGGGCGAAGGAAGTCCTGATTGTAACTGAAAAAATGTTTTCTTCTTTAAGAATTCTTATAAGAATTAGAGTAATTCTGATTAAAAGTTTGTGAGAGTTTCGGTTTTCAAAGAGAGTGAATTGAGATTCTGATGGGTATGGGAAAAGTAGAAAAGATCTGGAGGATGTTTCACGGCTTTTCAGCAATCGGGACATCATAAATTAATGCAATATTCATTTGTGTTAATAAGTGAATTTGATGTGCGAATGTAGTGAGCCTTGGAAAAGATTTCAGTTGTTTTCAGAACCCACTTCGTTCGCCCCTCAAATTCATCTGATTGCAACTGATGGGCGAAGGAAGTCCTGATTGCAACTGAAAAAATGTTTTCTTCTTTAAGAATTCTTATAAGAATTAGCCAACAAAGTGTACTTAAAAGTTTGTGGGTTTTCAAAGAATCTCAAAAGAACTTTGCAATGTAATAAATAAAGTGTGTATGCTAATATTAATGGAAAATCAGACTCGAAGGATTTATCAATGTTCTAACACTTACTCATCGATTAGTTGAGTGAGTGACTAATAAAATGCATGCACAATTCAAACTCGAAGGATGTATTAACATGAATAATCTGAACCAATGTAAACTAATCGATTGGTTTATAACTGATTTGAAATTCTATTCGATGGATTACATTCAATCAATTAACATTTCCTTGCTTTCTTATTGGAATTGCTCATCGAAAGACATTCAATTAATTATTGTCATATTGTGTTTATCAATTGATCCACAAGAGGGAGTTTTGACATTATCAACAATTTTGAATTTAAACAATTAGTTGGCATTACCTGTTTTGTTAGTGGTGAGGAATGTGGAGGGACGCTCAGTTGCAGTTCGTTCTTCAATGAGTCGGTATTATAAAATTGTTGTGCAACTCCGATGAACTGTGTGGTGCGTTCAGCGAAAACCATCATCGCAGAACACAATCCCATTAGATTCAGCGGCAATTAAAGGTTAGTGGTGTGAATATGATTATAAACAAACAATTTTTTTTTTTGCATTGCATTCAAAGTTTCCCAAATTTGTTCGCTAATCCTTTACGTAACTTGTGTTAAAATGTGCGTGTTGCGCAATAACTCATAATTGAGAAATTCGCGTTAATTAATTAGAAATTTGGACGCATCAAAAATGGCGGACCGACGCTTTCCTTCCACC